GCTGTTGCGAAGGCAGCTGTTGTCGTTGTTGTACGTCAGTTTCGTTTATTGACGAAAGATTAACATTTGTTGGGGCAAATGATGCCAGATTATTTGCTGCTAGTTTGGACTTCGTTGGCTTCTTGTGAGAAATTACCTCAACATCCGCGTCTAAACATTTCCTCTTGCGAATTTTGATTTTGTTGTTTTTTAGTAGATGGGCGTTAATGTTGTTGCTGTTGTTGTCACAGTCAGAAATGTTGTTGTCAGATACATCATCGTGTATCACTATGATGTTTGTGCTGTCCTCGGCGCTACTGCCAGAAAGATTGATGTCATTGGGGTTGATGCTGTTGTTGTTGTTGTTGATGCTGTTGTTGATGTTGTTGTCGATGTTGTTGTTTTTGAATAGATTTTTGGTTATGTCTTTCAGCGAACCGACCATAGGTAGACAAATTCTATTGGAGACTGTTGATGTTTTGGCCGATGTATTTAACGTTATTGATGTTGCTGATGTTGTTGCTGTCACTGAATTTGTTGTTGTTATTGCTGCTGCTAATGTTGTTGTTGTTATTGATGCAATTGCTGTTGATGCGATTGTTGTTGTCGATGTTGTTGCTGCTATAAATATCGAACCGAAATCTGAACTCGTTTCGAAATCGTTATCGGAAGCAAACAGTTCATCATAAAATGTTGACGTCACGAAAGGCAAGTTGAAATTATTATCATTATTATTATTATTATTAGTAGTAGTAGCAGCAGTAGTAATAGGGGTAGCAGCAGCAGCAGCAGCAGCAGTAGTAGAATTATTATTATTATTATTACTGTTGATATAACCATCAAAACAAGTTGTGGTTGACGGCCAAAATGTTGTTGTTGTTGGCAAAAATACAGTTGTTCTAAAATCATTATTAATATAACTAACAGTAGTAGTTGCTGTAGTAGTAATAGTAGTAGTAGTAGCAGCAGTGGTAGTGGTAGTAGCGACAGTAGCAGCAGTATTTGTTATAAAATTTTGATAATTACTATTGAACAAATGTGCCGATATTTTGGTAGTGTTAATATTAGTAGTTGTAATAGCTAGAGTATTGTTAATTGTAGTGGTAGCTGCAGTTATAGTGGTAGTTGCAGCTGTAGTAGTAGTAGCAGCGGTAATTGCAGCTGTAGTAGAAGCAGCAGTAGTAGAAGCAGCAGTAGTAGAAGCAGCAGTAACTGCAAAAAGAATTTTTTTAATGTTAGTAATGTTGGTGCTATCAGTGGAATTTAAAATGGGCGATTTATTCTGGACGGTGTTAATATTGTTGGCTTGGATGGGAGTTGAATACGGGTTGGTTTTATTGGTGTTTTTGATGTCATTATTGTTATTGTTGTTGTTGATGTTGTTGATGTTGTTGATGTTGTTGTTGTTGATGTTATTGTGGATGTTATTGAATAGAATTTTATTTCTTAAAAACCGTTTTTTCTTCGTCTTTTTGTTTTTTCGACCGTGTATAAGTTTGAAAATTGGAGTCAGTGGTGGGGACC